AGCCAACCTCATAGTTGAGTTCTGTTACTTCTACCTTCTTTTCTTTTCCAACCATCTCATGTCAGTCTCATAAAAGTGTGCCTCTTGTGACCAGGACTGCATGAGTTATGAAAATACTAGGTCTCAATCATGGTAGAAAGCAATGAGGATTGGAGGAATCAGTTTAACTCATAGAAGGTGACATAGAAATACTGGGGGTTAGGAAATATGAGTGACACATAAGAATCTCCCTTTTTTCTTTTATTTTTAATGTTTATTGATTCTAGAGAGGAGGGAGGAAGAGGGACAGAGAAACACTGATTTGTTGTTCCACTTATTTATGCATTCACTGATTGATTCTTCTATGTTCCCTGACCCAGGATCTAACCTGCAACCTTGGTGCATTGGAATGACCTTCTAACCAATGAGCTACCCAGCCAGGGCCTCCCCTTTTTCTTAATTCTGCATCCCAACCCCAGAGGCAATTTTTTGGTTTGTTTGTTTCTGGTATATCCTGCCAGAAATTTTCTAACCTTTTACAAACATATATGATATAATTCTTCTGTGTGACACAAATGGAAGTATATTAAACATCTGCTCCGTAAAGTGATATTTTTCAACGAACAATATATCTTAAATATTTACTCAGTGGTGAAGGCCTGGGGAAGTGGGGGTGGCTAGAAGAGGCTAATGGAGGGGGAAAGGGGAACATATGTAATACTTTCAACAATAAAAATTTTAAAAATAAAAAAATTAATTAAAAAATATTTTCTAATACCAGTATAGATATCTACCTGATCCTGCTTGGTGTTATATTAGAAGATGTATTCAAAATTCTTAAATAATTCCCCTACTGAAAGGCAATTTAACTTGCTTCCAGTTGTTTACCATTACCCACAATGCTGCAGTGAAGAGCTTTCTACAATGGACTTTAATCACCTATGTGAGGATGTGTGTTGGACAGTCTCCTACACGTGTAATAAAAATTCACATTTACTGAAAAGAATAAAATTGGGATTGTCCCAGAAAATCGTGGTTGCCTAGGCAGAATAATTAGAACTATTTTCTGCTCACAAATAGCCATCCAGATCTAAGTGAGACTGATTTTCCCATTCACTTGAAGCTTCGATTGAAAACTCAGAGGAAAATTCCCCTCTTATGATTTCTCCTTAGAAAACATTTAAATGATATTCTTGCCCCAGAAAAAAAATCACAAGTTAATAAAAAATTATAAGATTTCTGAGAATTATACTTTTGCAAAGTACAGAGCATTACTGGGCATGGAGAGATGAACGTTTCAAGAGAAAACAAAACAAAACACTTTGCCTAAAAATAGCCAGAAGATTAGACCAAAAGTGCTATGGGCTTTCCCCCCTATGTTTTACTAAACTAAAGGATGTAACTCTATTGGGGGGGGGATACTATTTTACTAGTAAAAGAAACCTGTATATATTATGATGCACAATTTCAAATTTACATTACTTTTTTAAAATATATAAACAGAAGATGTTGAAGAAATTTTATGCTCACTGCAGTTTAGTCTTTGACCCTGGTCCCCAGTGCATTTACCTCTGTGATGAGGGTACATCCATGTCAGTATTTCACTGGATAAATACTAATTCTTCCTTCCATTCCTCATTTTGTAAGAACGTGTTCTTGTGTGTGCATAGACATATTTTTAAAAAATGATTAGAGAGAGAGAGAGAAAGAGATTTATGGTTCCACTTATTTAAAATTGGTTCATTCATTGGTTGATTCTTGTATGTGCCCTGACCAGGAATGGAACCTGCAATCTAGAGCGTATTGGGATAATGCTCTAACCAATTGAGCTACCCAGCCAGGGCTTGCATAGTCAGATCTAAAAGAACATTACAAAAGCAGTTGTATTCAAGTGCCAAATGGAGAGTTTGTGGAATGGGTAATGCTCACTATTATAAGAGTAATGCATTGTTCTACAATGACATTAATAAATATTAAGGTCTGGTATAGTAACATTAAATGTAAGCTTCTAACGTTGTGGATTGCTTGACCCTGACTGATCTTAAGTCCAGAGAGAGAGTAGACTGTAGGACTTTGAAAAAATATATAAATGAAGACTTTAAAGAAAATGTTGAACAGAATTTTCTGTCTATATCAAAAGAACTTTCATGATGTCTCCAAGCATTTGTTGAAACCAGAAGTATAGAATTTCATAGGGTGTTTCTTACAGTTTCAAATTTCTCTGTCATGCTCAAGGCCTGCAGAATTATAGCTATTTCTTTCACCTGCCCCGAAGTTACGTAAAACTAAACCCTTTACCTTGTTTGTCATTGTTCAGTGTCTCTTTTTATAAAGATGAATGATGACCTAGTGACTTCTGAACACCAGTGATAAGTTATTTCAGGACTTTCCTCCTCAATAGAGCTGCCTCTTAAAAAACACACAAAACTTTCTATCTATTTTGGAGTTAAGCATTGGCAGTATTACCCTGGCCCTCTTACTTTTGGAATTTCTAAGAAAAAAATATCAGCTTCTTAAAAGGATTACTTTTTTTTTTGCTTTTATTATCAAAACTCTTCATCCTTCCCCAGCTTTTTGTTTCTATTTGCATCAGAAATCTGTTTTATTTGGTGGCCAGTGGTGTTCATTCCATTTCTGTTTTCAAAGTCACTGGCACCTTCAGCAGCCTTTCACACGTGGGACACGGAGGCACCAAAGGCAATGAAGGGTTTTGCAATCCTCAGCTCAGTTTTTGAGAGAATTGAGACCAGATGCAGGTTTTCTGTCCAACTCTGCTGTCCCCCTTATTTCAAAACTGACTCCCTCTGAACTTGCTGGCACTTTAAGTGATGGGGTTGTAAACGATGAGCAGAATGACTAGCTGGTGAGGAGGGAGTGGCTGTTGTATTTAGCCTTAGACCCTCAGGAAGGGCAAGCCAAGTTTGTATGTTTTAATTCTACACTTTCTAATTAATTCCTTTTTATAGTTTCAGTTTCTCTGCTGAGAACTTCTTTTTCCCATTCATTACCTTTATCTCATAGATCATAGTTATAATAGCTACTTAAAAATCTCTGCCTGAGAATGTCAACAACTGGGTTTTCTCAGGGTTGGCCTCTGTTGCTTGTCTTTTCCTTTGATAATCGGTCACCTTTTCCTGGTTCTATGTATGTTTGAGCAATTTTGGATTGTATTCTATCCATCACCAATATCAGGCTAGGTAGATTCTTGTTATACTTCTCTGGAAAGTGATGTCTAGGTAGATTCTTGTTATACTTCTCTGGAAAGTGATGTTTTTTTGTTTGTTTTTGTTTGTTTGTTTGTTTGTTTGTTTCATCAGGCAATCAACCTAGTTAGATTCAGATGGGAAGTTCTGCTTTGCTTTCTGTGGGTGGCAGTTCTAATCTCAGTTCAGTTTACAAGGCCTTCAGTATGCTGCTGTGAGTACGCCCCATGCATATGCCACCCAAGGATTAAAGCTGACCTGTGGTTTAAATATCAGTTCAGCTCTCAAAGCTTTTGCTGTGTTGGTTGGGTCTGAACCATGTGTACATTTGTGTGGGTCCATAAACAAAATTATTGGTCCCCTTTGGTAGCTCTCTTGCCTCCACACTCTCGGGCCCACAAAGACCCCTTTTCCCAGCTCTCAGACCACAAACTGAGAAATATTATCTCAGGTTTACAGCTTACAATTTTGCCCTCTTCCCTGCTCTGTGCTTGGGGCTGCCCTCCGGGCAAAGCTGAATGAAGAGGAGAAAAAAAGCCTGGGAAATTCATTCCTTTACAGGTCACTTCTTTCTACTCTGCTCTCCAATCTGCCTGCTTTGGCTTAACTTTCAGAGTCCTCGGGTAGTTGCTTTTTGTTTTTTGTCCAGAGTTTTTAGTTGCAGTTGGGAAGAGGGAGGCCAAGGTGGGCTTGCCCTGCCATGCCGGAAATGGAGTCTATTCGCCTGGGGAAGTACAGTTCCAAGGAGCTTGGAGAGAAAAAAAAGTAAACAGGATGGAGCACTGATAGGGAGGCAGGGTGAAGAGAGGATGCTTTTTAAAGGAGAGTTTGGTTTGAAGGCCAAGAGCAAAACACGGCGGAAAGGTAAAGTAATGAGGATGACCTGCCTTAAAGATGAAACAAGGTGAAAGGACTCTGAAAACTGGGTGCACGCAGGCACGTTGGGGGAGGGGATTTGAAACTTGGAGAAGTGACCTGTAAAGGAATGAATTTCTCAAGTTTCTTTTTCCCCCTTTTTCACAGAAGAGAACTCTGAGCCACGTCAAGCACAGAGCTGGGGAGGGGGATCTAAGGTGCAGGCTGCAAACACAAATACTAACTCATTTTTCTGAACTGAGGAGCTGGGTAGAGGGGTCCTTGTGGGTCAGAGGGTGTGGAGCGGAGGGAGCAATAAAGGGGACCCAGAACTCTGCTTGAGAATCCAACAGTGCATGCACGGGTCAGACTGCCGAGTCAAGGGAGAGACAGGGTTAGGACCTTCATGGTGGGTGTGGGAGGGGAGGGAGGAGATTTCTTTCTGAGTTGGAAGAAGGGAGGTGAGGATGGTTGATAATTCCCAAGACTTTTGGGGTGAAGAGAAATGGAGTTGAGTTGGCTGACAGGTTACATCCTGCAGAGATCACTTGCCAAGACAGGGGACTGGGAGGAAGAAGCCCTTTGCAAATCAAAACCTCCTGAAGCTTAAGGCACTTGAATCCCGTTGCTGTGCTAGCACCATTTCATCTCTGACTGAGGCAGCTCATCTTTATTACACCCTCAAGCCACCACTGTTCCCCGGGGAGCTGAATGACGGGGTGGACCTTGTCAGGAAAAGAACTAGGGCGAACCCTGGGTAACATGTGCATCGCATATTCTCTTCATTTCTAGCGTTGAGAATGGCTTTGGAAAAAAAATCATAGCATTATAATATGTGGACCGCAGAAGAAAGAAGAAAAGTTAGCAATGTTCTGGGAATGGTGCCCAGCTCTTTTATGATTCTGAGTAGTAAAGTTACAACATGCCACATGCACACTTGTTTGGCAGAGTGTGTGCTGAAGCAATGTTCACTCGAGGCCTCTCACTCATCTATTTCATTGTTTGCCAGCATGATCATTATTAATGAAGAGCGACTGAGCCTCATGGCAGGTTGGAGTTAGTTCTGATGTAATTGTCCATTATGTCTCTTGTAATCGCTTTCATGCAGTTCAGATTCCTCCCTTCTATTTCCTGAAACCCGACTCCCAGCCCTCTGATTCTTGGTGAACCAAAATGCCAAGTCACTTTTGATTAGGTTTCCTCTGTCTTTGTCTTCTGAGTACTGGACCGTGTGGCTCTCCCACTCGCAGAGAAAAGTCATTTAGAGATTTAACGTTGATTCAATTTCTATGAACCATGGTACAGTATCAACATTTTCCTTCAGGCAAAGGTACAAATGACACATTTTTTCCATGGGTGGTTTGCGCGTGTGCGTGAGTTCTAAGACTGTTTTTATTAAAACAAAGCCAGATCTACTTCCTGTGAGAATCGATGTTTTGTTGTTCAAGGATGGGGTGTTATGCTTCTATGTTAGTCCCCGGCTGGGGTAGGCATCGGAGGGTGGGTGCTGAGGAAGGATTCGCCGAGAGTGTCAGTTTAAAGTGGTCTCAGATGGAGCTGAGGACAGAGGAAGGAGAAGACTGCTTTAGAGGATGAAAAATGACATGGAAATGGACTATCAACCACCAACTGCCAAGTTGATTAGTTCAAAATTAATAATATGCCGAGCGATGATCTCCTCTTGACTTTGGTGGGGATTTAATATATGTTTCAATTACCCAGGTAATCTTGATGTTTTAAAGTGACTTCCAATGTCAAACTAAATAGGACACTATTCTCATTAATGAGTTTTTGTCTCATAAGTCAGAATCCCATGGATGGGTTTATGAGCTCTAGGACAAAACTAAGCAGTAGACTCCAAGATATTGAAGACTAAAAAAGTATTTTTTTAATCATCTAGTCCAGCTTTATTTCATAACCAGAAATTGAAACATAAGAGAGGTTAAGCAGCTTGCTGAAGGTCACACAGCTGGTTACTGACGTAGCCAAAATTCAGACACATGTATATTTACTCCCTAAGTCCTTTCCATTGTACCATGAAGATTTATGCTTGTTTTGCTGCTTTTGCTGTCTCTTTCAATTGGGGAGTTGAAGGTAGTGGGGTGTGAGAGGAAGGGAAGAGTTTACAGAGAGAACATCCCCAAAGGAATCCATTTCTCAGAAAGGGATGGCTTAAATATGGGTGATACTATTGTATTATAAGATCTTCACTCGCTTAAGGAAAAGCCTATGATAAAGGATAAACACTCACTCCTAACAGGACTCCAGGGGTTTAGAGACTCCCAAGACCTTCCGATATTTAGCAATGATGCCAGACCTGTGGCTTCCTTGAGTTTAAAGCAGAAGCTGTTTTTGGTGTTTCCTGCCTGTGCAATCTCTCCCCAAAGAGCCAACACACAAAGTGCAGGTCTGATTACAATGGACATGTTGCAAATATGGTAAAGAATCTGTAGGTGCCCTTAGATTTCTGAGAATTTTCCCTTGAAAACAATTTCTAAAGGAATGCTTTATGAAAAATACTGGCGACTTCCAGGCAACTTGGAAAATGCGGGTTTTATTTATGTTTTCACTGACCACCCTCTCTCCTACATACCGTATGCATTTGCTCTTATCCACATGGGTCTACCCCACGAGGACAAAACCAGCTGTTTCTCAGATGTTAATTAGGAAATAGCATTCCCCAGGGCTGTGAAATCAGAATGAGCAATCAGACATTTTCCAAGTCAGGGCTAGGAGAGACAGACCCTAGAAATGTAGTCGTAGGGCCCAGCAGCATGGAATTGAACTAGTCTGTCCCAAATACAGCTACCAGCCAGGCTGCTGAGGTGAGGCAAATATCCTGATTCAGGCTGCAGGCAGTGTTTTGGGGGGTGCTCGGAGCACTGTGCCTCATCTCTACCAGACACAAGCCACCTGGGCGGTGGCTCCGGAAAAGAAGGTAGCTCAGCAAGACCAAGCAAGACCCAAGACTCATTCATTACTTAGGTTACCAGCCTAGAACACACCTCTTACCTCAGGTGGCAGTACCCTTCGTTCCATCCAGGATACCCCAGTGGCTGCTCTTAAACTTTTTTTTTAACCGACATACACATCAACCTGTGAAAAGAACAAAAGTTTTAAAATCAGGAGTCCCAAGGCCCACTCCCAGTGGGAAGCAAACCACACTGGCTATAGGGCCTCTTTATGTCTAAGGCTTCAAAATGATCTCTGCGGTCATTTCCCAGTTTAACATTCTGCATTTCTTACCCTGTCAAGGCTGCACGCTGCAGTCATTATAACTTCTTCCACCTGGACCTGAACACCTCTATGCGGCACTGCGTGCTCTGTCTTGTTACTAAAGGTGTGGTCCATGGACCTCAGTCAGGGGAAGGCTGTAAGAAATGCAACTCTCACACGGCCCCAGACTCACTGAACCAGACTCTGCATTTTAGCAAGATCTCCAGGTGATTGGTTTTAGAATCTTTGTTCTAATGGACTCGCAGAAAACCAGCTGTGAGACCCATCAATTCTGTGCAGGTAAACACAAACTAGAAACTCTGTTGTTTGTTACATATTTACATACCACAAACAGACAAATAAACTGTGTGCGTATGTGTATATACTGTACATTTATGTATGTATATGTACATGCATTCTCTCAGCAAGCAGCTAAATAAGATTAGCTGTTTAATTCATTTCGAGGATCATCCAAAAACTGGTCTGGAGCACACCTGATTTGCAGCGCTGTTCCCGGAACTGCTTACGTGGTAACGAGCAAAACACCCACGCTTTCTGCCCTCATGGAATTTACAGTCCAATAAGAAGTTCTCACAATAACTAGAAAATAGAGAGCATATCTCTTACACCTCTGTGTCTTCCAACGTGTCTAGAAGAACTAGAACAATATGGTAAATGTTCAATAAACTTTACTAAAATTCAAACGATTATAGCAGAATGCCAGGAAATTACCTGAATAATATTTTGCAATTGTTCAAGCTGTTTGGACAAAACCCCATCAGGAAGTTGAGAAGAACGTGGTTTACCTTTTAATTTATTCTGTTTCTTCTCGTATTATCAAACTTGGAACAGTTTGTCAGGCTTTGTTTGTAACATATAACTTTCCAAATGCAATATAACCATATTTCTCATTACACACAAGTAATATTTGGTTAAATATTGCCTAAGCTGTATCTACATGACAGAGGAAAAAATATTTCAGCAGAAAATAAAGCAATATGTTTGGTTGGAACTTGTTCTACTTTTGTTTTTTTCCATATTGGTTTCTACCTTTGTTTCAAAATTATTGTGTCTGCAGGGAGATTTCCAGATTACTGCTTTTGGGTTGAGTGACAGTGAGTCAGGACTCCACCCTATCGTATCTTTAATACTTTCTTTGCAAATGAAACAATTAGAAAGATGGAAAGATATTCCAGCTCCATCAGAATGATTTGAAAACACCAGCCTCGGGGGGGAAATTGCTGGAAAATAAAATCATAGGGAAAATCACAGAGCTGGAAAAAGTCTTGGATAAGTCTCCTCCTATGGGAGGGAGGGTGGGGTGCCGGCTGGCAGCCCCGCCCACCCACTGTGCCCATGAAGGAAAGGAGACTCAGCAGTGAGAAATGACTTGCCTGACGTCAATCATATTTTAGGGAAACAAGTGGAAATGCTTTCAGAGGAAAGTCTTGGGTTTTGTATAAAGTGTCTGTAGTGAGCCCAGACTGAAGGGTCCCAGGTTCCATTCCAGTCAAGGGTGCATACCTAGGTTGCAGGCTCGATCCCCAGCCCCGGTAGTGGTGCATTAGGGAGGCAACCAATCGATGTGAACTCATCGATGTTTTTTTCTCTCTCTCTCTCAGTCTCTCCCCCTCCCTTCCATTCTCTCTAAACATCTATTTAAAAAATATCCTAGGGTGAGGATTAACAACAACAAAAAAAGTTTCTGTAGTGAAAGCACTATGTGGATTACCATCTTCATAACCCAGGTATATACAATGACCTGTGTTATTTGCTTGCAATATTCCAAACTCCTTTCTTCTTCCATTCCTCATTTTTTAAAAATATATTTTATTGATTTTTTACAGAGAGGAAGGGAGAAAGATAGAGAGTTAGAAACATCGATGAGAGAGAAACATCAATCAGCTGCCTCCTGCACACTGCCCACTGGGGATGTGCCCGCAACCAAGGTACATGTCCTTGACCGGAATCGAACCTGGGACCCTTCAGTCTGCAGGCTGACACTCTATCCACTGAGCCAAACCAGTCAGGGCTCATTCCTCATTTTAACATTACTCCGTTGCCTTTTTTCCAACTTCCCCTTGTTGATTGGGGTATACACATTCTGCCAGTTACGGAGGGATATGTGAAGTCTCCAACTATGACTGTGGATGTGTCTAGTTTTCCTTCCAATTCTGCCAGTTGTTGCTTCATGTATTTTGAAATCTGCTGTAAGGTACACACACATTTAAGATTGTTAATGTCTTCTTCGTGAATTGGTCCTTCAGTCATGAAGATGTAATGATGTATGTAATGTTCTCTTTTATCCCTAACAATTTTCTTTTCTCTGAAGTCTACTTGCTTGATTATTAATGTAGCTACTCCACTTTCTTTTGATTGGGGCTTCATGATTTATCTTTTTCCATCCTCTTACTTTTCACCTACCCTTTTTGTTATATTAAAAGTGAGTTTTTATAGACAGCATATAGCTGGGTCATTGGGTTGTTTTTTTTTAATCTAACAATCTCTGTCTTTTAATTGGTGTACTTAGACCAGTAGTCGGCAAACTGCGGCTCGCGAGCCACATGCAGCTCTTTGGCCCCTTGAGTGTGGCTCTTCCATAAAACACCACGTGCAGGCGCGCACGTACAGTGCGATTGAAACTTCGTGGCCCATGTGCAGAAGTCGGTATTTTGTGGAAAAGCCACACTCAAGGGGCCAAAGAGCCGCATGTGGTTCGTGAGCCGCTGTTTGCCGACCACTGACTTAGACTATTTACAATTGATAGCCTTTGCTGTGTTTGAATGTAGGTCCACATTTCATTATTTGCTTCTGTTTTATCCCTCTGCTTTCCTATCCCTGTCTTTTAAAAATGTTTTTTAGTATTCCATTTTAATTTTTCTATTGTGAATTTATACCTCATTATATAGCTTTTTCTTAGTGGTTTCTCTAGGAATTACAATAAACACAGTTAACTTTTTATAGTCTGCTTGGGGCCAATATTTTACCACTTCAAGTGGAATATAGAAACCTTACCTTACCACATATAGATTCCTTTGCCTTCTCCCATTAATGTTATAGTTGTCTTATGTGATATATCTGTATATTTTGAAAACCCAATCAGACACTTACAACTTTTACTTTCAATTATCCTACATATTTTAAAGAAGTACAGAAGAGTAGTCTACTATATTTACCTGTATATCTAGCATTTCTGTGGCTCCTCCTTCATTCTTAGTATTATGAAATTCTATCTGATATCATTTCTCTTCTGTCTGAACCTCCTTTCAGAAGTTTGCTTTTGGATAGGTCTGCTGGTTAAGAATTCTCTTAGTTTTCCTTCTTCAGGGAATACCTTTGGTGTTCCTTCATTCCTCAAGATTATTTTAGTTAAGTATAAAATTCTGGATCGATAGTCCTTTTCTTTTGGCACTTAAAATATCATGCCACTTCCTCTGGCCTCCATGCTTTTTTGATGAGAAATTCACAACCATTTAAAAAATATCATGCCACTTCCTCTGCTTTCACGGTTTCTTATGAGAGGACCCATGGTCGATTGAAACATTGTCCCCTATAACAATATGTCATTTTTGCTTTGGCTGCTTTTAACATTTTGTCTTTAGTTTTCAGCAGTCTTGGCCTAGTTTCTCTGTGAGTTTCTCCCCCCAAATGTTTTTAGTTCCTTGAGCTTCTTGAATCTGTAGGTTTATGCCTTTCATAAAATTTAGATTTTCAACAATTGTCTCTCAAATATTTTTTCTGTATTCCATCTTCTCCTCTTCTTCTGAGACTCAGTAACATAAATATTAGATATTTTGAAATTGTCAATAAGTCCCTAAGACTCTATGTTTTTTCCAATATTTTTTTCATTTAGTTGTTCAGATTAGATCATTTCTATTTACATATCTTCAAATTACTGACTCTCATTTTCATTCTGTTACTAAGCTCATCTAATGAGTTTGTATTTTGGTAATTCTATTTCTAGTTCTAAAAATTATATTTGGTTCTTCTTTACAGTTTCTGTTTCTTTGATGAGAAATCCATCCATCATTCTATCATTCCAGCCACTTCAAGAGGATTTACTCTTACATTTTGAACCATATTTGTAATAGCTGCTTTAAAGTCTTTGTCAAATAATTCTAGCATCTATATCATCTCACTATTAACATTTGCTGATTGCTTTTTTCCTATGCAAGTTAAGATCTTACTGGTTCTTCAAAATATACTGAGTAATTTTTGGTTTTATCTTGGTCACTTTGAATTGTGTTATGAGCCTCTGGGTCTTATTTAAATCTATGGAGAATTTTGAAGTATGTGTTTCACCTTCCAAATGACTTAGCTAGATTCAGACCAAGTTCTAAACAGCCTTCTGTATTTCCATGTCTATTCCATGTTCAAGCTTTGTGTTGTTGTTTAGATCAGTCCCACAATTTGCACCATCCAGTGGTCATTCTGGGACTTGGCTATATAGACCCCAGTGTTCAGCTCTCAAAGCCTATTGGATGCTGGTTGGGATCAGATCTATACTTGTACAGTTCATGGGACTAGAAGTCCATAAGCACCTTCTTAACCTCCTTTCTTTATGCTACCTCTATGATAGGAGCCAGAAAATGGGGCCTTTATTTGTTCACTCTGACACATGCTTCCTACAATGTGCCCAAGTCCAGGGCCAAAAAGTGGGAGGACACAGAGAGAAAAATTAGTAGCAGGGTTCCCTCACCCTCTTAATACCCCAGTTCTTCTCATCTGAAAGAAAGAGCCCTTCTCTCAGAGTTTTAGTTGCCTATTGGCCACTGGGGCCTGGGAACAATAGAACAGAAAAAAAATGATAAAAACAGGGATTTCCCCCACTCTCTCTGTATATTAGAAACCCCTTTTATTCCTCCCTGTTCTAGAACTATGGAGCTTCTCTGAAGATCTTCTGTCTGTGCCAATGGTCACCTCTGGGTTTTAAAAGTGCCTTGAGTCTATTTAAAAATACAAAATAAGATAGATACCTAGGTCTCCACCCCAAAGATTCTGATTTAATTTATATGGGGTGGGATGTGGACAGAGGGTTGTTTTTGTTTGTTTTTATGATAGTCTTTGTGACTTGGATATACACCAAAGTTGAGAACCTCTGTCATAAATAAAGATTCCTAAGGGCAGATTTTATTTTAAAAGTCATAGCTATATTTTACTACTACCTCTGCCAGACACCCTGTTGGATATGTTAAGGGTTATTTAACTTTATAGAATACTATTAAGAGTTCATATTCTGAAATGGGTTGTACCTGGTCTTGAATTTCTACTAAGACACACATTACTTGTTTGATTTTCAACATTTGATTAACTTCTAAACCTCAGTTTTGCACCTGGGAAATGGGGATAATAATAAAACCTACTTTGTTGGAAGGATTAAATGGGATAATGAATGTAAAGCACACAGCATAGTGCCTGGAATATAACAAATATTCAATACATATTCGCTATTAGTACCACTCACATTTTATAGGTGAAAAATTTCAAAATCAAACAGATTAAGAGACTCACCCAAAGTTCTTTCAAATGTTTTCAAAGTTACATCAACCAGATGCGAAAATATGTGTTGGGGCTCTCTGTAAT